TAGAGCATAAGCTTTCATGGACTACAGCCCACTTCTTCGCGAAAGCTTATGCTCTAATAAATTTGTTAGTCTCTAAGGTGCCACAAGTACTCCTGTTCTTTTTGCGGATACAGACTAACACGGCTGCTACTCTGGAACCTGTAACGATACCTCTTTCATGTTTAAATACAAACAATTTTTCTGGACTTATTTATTTTGTAAAAATGTTTTCAATCCAGCATTAAAGTATAATCATGGAATGGAAATGTCTCCTCAGGCAGGTAACTAACAGCATTTATGTCTACAGTAGATACTACAGTGATTAGTGCTGTATAAACACCTACAACAGTGTGACTCACTGACCACTTCAGGGAGGGTGTTTTGCTCAGCAATGGCAACTCAAGAAACACTGTAAAACAAAGTTCAATTTGAAATTACTAATATGTCTTTAAATCTATACAAAACCATAGGAGGGGCATAACTGTAAGGCAGCTGACCCTTTACAAGGATCTTATTTTAATTTCTTGTACTGCTAGCATAACTATCAGCAAAATATTTTTATTATTTGTATTCTGGGAGCACCTAAAGACCCCAGCCAGGGCTGGGGCCCCATTATGCTTGGTACTACACAAACACAGAAGATTGTCCATGTCCTAATGAGTTTACAGTCTGTCTATATGTCTGTCTGTGATATATTACAAAAAGTTAGCAGTTTGTCAAACAAGGTGGAGTGATTTAAATTAAAGTGTTTTAAATCAGCAAGCATGAAACATTAATTTAAATAATTGTTTTTAAACTTGTTTTGTATTTGTACTTTAGTTATTTCCCTAAAGAAAGTTTCATTCTCATTGGTTGGTATAACCATTTAAATGTGTTGTTTGCAAACAATTATAGTCTTTACACTAAATTTTAATATCTTTCAAATTTTAGGAGGCCTCATTGATGCAGCATTTTATTATTTTTATTTTAGTGAGTTTAATGGATTATAGTATGTTTAGGCCTTACCATAGGCTGCCACAATTTCAAATATAATTTTAAAACAGGTTAATTTTTTTTAAAGAAAAATGTATTTACTTTAAATAAGAAACATTGTTAAATTGATATATCCTTTTTAAAAAATATATATTTTTATCCATGATATTGTCAAAACACTGCAGCACAATTTCTGTACACTTCACATAACAATCTTCCCTCCCAAGGTCCCGACAACCCCAAAAAAACAAAACAAATTTAAAATCTGATTCTGTGTTTACTGGATCAAGCAGTAAAAATGGGGAAAACTACCTCTTTATCCTCCTTCAATTAATAGCAAACTTCCATTGCTCAGGATCAGCCCCACTGAATAATTTCTGGCATAAGTTCTATATTAAAGACATACTCTGTATTCCAGGTACAAACCACTGGGACTATAAAATTGTGCTAAACCAAGTAACACTCACTGGAGATCTTAAAACTATTTGTGTTCACAGATAGATCTTTTCACTACAAATCTTTAGTATTGCGTTATTGATTATTGCAGCTAAACTATTAAAGAACTAACATTCTCCGATAAACAGAAGAGGAGGACACTTACAATCCATTTATTAACAACAATTGTTGCCATAATGCAGCTGAACCTACTACTGCATGTAACGGGTTTTTTCTTTTTGTATAAGAGTATATGACACTTTTTATTTTTAATTGCAAGTCACTCTAATTATAAACATTTAGCATTAGTTGTAGGGCCTCTGATTTTCTGGGTTTTTTATTAGCAACTTTTGAGTTTTGTGTAGTGGTCCAAAAAATCATAGGACTTATGGCTCTTTGAATATATTGTAGCAAGTAAAGTATATATTGTAATGAGTAACTTCTTTGTAATGTTCTTTAGTACACTTTAATTTAGCATTGTTTCAAATACTACTACACGTTAGGGAACACCAGCAGTGTTTACATGGACTAATTAATATGCCACATTAGTGCACTTTAGAAATACCCTTGCAGTCCACATACTACTCTGCGAAGACAAGCCCTTAGATACAAGTAACCATTTCTCGTGTTTATTGGATAAATACCACTTTAAATTTTTTTTAAATCAGGGATGTTTATCACATAAAACCAAAAATCAGGAGCCCTGATTATTTATTTATCTAAGAGATATCTGGTTAGTTGAAGTCAACTGTGAGCATTAGTTTTGGCCTTGACACTTAGGCCAGGAATTTTTCATTCTCATTCTTCTCTGGTTAGTGGTCAGGAGAGGTTGCTGTGCAGGCCTTCGCCTTCTTCTCCAGCAAGCAAGCCAAACTGCACTTCATAATACATAACCACCCTTCTTCATTCAATACAAGCAACACCGCATCTCTGCCATGGCAGCCCACCTTGCTTCCTGCAATGGCCATTCTATAGTAGGGAATATTTTAGTTCTAGGAAGTAGTTACGGATGCAATGCTCTGGAAGCATGGAACATTCAAAGGCTATTATGCTGAGATGTGACAGATACGATGAACACATGGAATAGTCAAAGACAATTGTATCAGCTTTATAAATGTTATATGTACCTTTATGGGCTAGCTGGTGATTGCATTTCTGGCTCAATGCAGGAACTCAAATCACTGAGGGGTAATCAGAGCCATAACCAGGGCATCTTCCCAGGGCACAAATAGAGGCATGGCAAGGGCTTGGTCGGGGGGGGTGAGGGGACACCACCTCCACCCTCTGACTCATCTCAGCAGACCACCCAGCCTGTCTGGGTTGGGGGGGGGGGCGCACAACCAAAAAATCTTGGGGGGAGAGGCATGTGACCATGCATTTCCTGCCTCCCCGTCATCTCTGGGTGGAAAAATGAAAAAAAATTGTAGAGGACGCAAATATACTTGCTCACCCCAGGCACCGCTATGCCTAGTTACAGCACTGGGGGGAATTAATGCAAATCTTTTATGCAGGTAAGAAGTCTGTGGAAGTTTTACCCCCTGGGGAAAGAGCATATAGTGGTTTGACCTGGTTCAAGAGGCCTGGCAAACAAAGAACTGAAAACTGTATAAAGAAACAACTCTCACCTGGGAGAGAGGTCAGTCACCCTTGATCCACAAATGGACATGAGATTGTGACCAAGAGGCACAGATCCTGTGCAGGACCTGAAGTACTTTGGAACCTGCCAGGGTCTCCATGGGGAAGATGGGTGACACCTGATAAGCTAGGCATGCCTATAAACTTTTTATTTTCTTTAAGATATGCTTCCTCTATAATGCCTTTGTTCTAAATAAACAATACTTTGTTTTATGAGAGTAGGCTGGTCACTGGTTAACCCTATTATTGTCCCCTGAGAGAACAGAAGTGTGGGTGCTGAACTGAAGTCAGACCTTTGAGAGAATCACAGTGAAGCAAGAGGAACTGCAGCTGAGTCCCGTGTCTGGAGGGAACAGATTGCGGGATGCTGCCCAAAGAAAGGTGATGGCTAGAGGTCTGAGAGGGCAGCCCCCATGAAGGTGTCAGAGGTGCAATTCCCTCAAGAACTGTGACAAAATCTCTTCACTTACTGGAACCAGTTTGTGTCTGGACACCTGAACCTCTCCCTCTTTGAGTTTCCTCCACAAATCCCCTCTTTGTTACTTGCTTCCTCCTTCCCTTTCCAGCCCTCATTACACCTATTCAGTCCCGGCCAGGGGCACCAGCCTCCCGGTTCCAATAAAAGAACTGACTTGGAAGCTGACCCGGTCCATAACTCACACCTAGGGCCTCAGTCATTTGCCAGCGGCCAGCCTCAACCTCACAGCTCCTTGCCTTGCTGGGCTTCTGCTGGAGGAGGAAACCCCCGTATTTCCCACCTCGGGATTGGTCTGCCAGTCTGGAGACGGCTTTTGTGACTCATTAAGAGACTGGGTTTGATTCTGGAGAGAGAAAGAGCAGCAGGGCCAGTTTCACAAACTACTTAACCTCCCCTGAGCCCCAGCGTGACTAGAGACACACGAGCGAAGGGGGAGGAGGGGAGGGGAGTTTGAATGAGACGCAGAGACCAAAGCATCACTTAGGGGGACATTATTCTGGCTTGGGGTGCTGGAGGCTGACGTACTAGTCACTGTCCCCTATCCCCAGGTGTGAGCCGTAGCCACCCCCACGTCCGGGACACCCCCCCACACATATCCCCTGCAAACTGCCCCCCCCGCCCCATCGGAGACAGCCCCGCATCCTGCTCACTGTGCCCAGCACAGATCCTCCCCCGGCACAAAGCCCTCACCTGTCCGCGTCCATCTGCACCCTCCTCAGCTCACCCCGCCCCGGCGCGCTCCTCCCCCGCGCGATGCTGGCCGGGGAAGGGAGGGGGCGCCGCCAGCTGCCCGGTGCACAGGGACCAGCTCCACCTCTGCTTCCCAACAGCTGAAGAGTGCTCCACACGGCCGCGGCGCTTCCTCTTCCGGGCTGCTGCTGCTGCTGGGCTGAGTCCTGCCCAGGGGGAAGAGAACATCTTCTGTGGGTGCCACTGTGCCCCCAGCCTCACTCCCCGGCAGGGAAACGCCCTCAGGGGAGAATTCGTTTCAGGGAAGAGTTGCCCGCTCTGCTGAGGAACGAGTTGGCAGTGTGTAAAGTCCCCCTCAGCAGCTCTTTTTTAGAGCTCCTGCCCCATTTAGATAATCCCCTCCCCCCCCCGCAAAAAAACCTAAGACGCTCCACAAACTGCCCCAGCCTGTTAACTGACCGGCCAAACCCAAGACATCCCCCAAACTGGCCCCTAAACTCAAGACTTTACAAACTGCCTCAGCCTGTTAACTGCCCCGCCCCTGAGACAGCCGGGTAAACTGCCCTACCTTAAGCTTGAGACTTTAGCTCCAATCTAAGGTTAATGTTGGCCAAACATTTCAACATCCAGCAAAGAACGTATAAAGATCGTGGTTAAAAATGTTGAGATTACATCCGTATCTAAAAGGAAGTGTGTTTCTTTTTCACCTATGACTCCTCACTGAGAGTATTAGGGTTGTCATAGAACGTCAACTGTACAAACATGTGTGTTATAGATGCCAAATGTAATGCAGATCTTATGAAAACCACTGATCGTATAAAATCCCTGTGAGATCATCATTTTATCTCCTTTTTACAGCAGGAAAAACGGAGGCAGAAGTTGGTATCCTCAAGGCCATAGAGTTAGTATTAGAGCTGGAATACAAACAGAAGTTTCTGACTCCTAATTCTGTGCTCAGACACACTTCGCTCCTGCAATAGTCTTGTCTACATTAGGGAAAGTTTGCAAACATTTCCCTTTGTTGCCCAGCAGTTCAGCTCCAACACCAGTAGCAATCCTGGAAGCCCTGGTATAAATAGGTCACTGGCTGATGCTGGTGTTAGTGGTTAAGACACAGTACATAAGATAGCAGCCTCCTGCCTACACAAGCCCTTCTGTTGCTACAGTGTTAGCTTCAGCAGGAAATATTTGCAAAATTTCCCTAGTGTAATCAAGGCTAACAGAATGTGACTTTTTAGTGTGCGCACATGCTTATTTTTATTAAGAAAAGTTTAATCTCTTACAAATAAACTATGGATGTTGAAATGTGTGGATTCTTCTGACAGAAAATCACAAGGAAAAAGAAATAAAATTAAGGTGGCTGAGTTAGGGCAGATCCTCAGCTGGTGTAATATAGCATAGCTGAATTGACTTCACTCACTGGAGCTGTGCTGGTTTACAGCAGTTGAAGATCTGGCCTAGGGCCGGCTCCAGCCACCAGCTTGGCAAGCAGGTGCTTGGGGCGGCCACTCCAGAGAGGGGCGGCAGGTCCAGCTATTCGGCGGCAATTCGGCGGACGGTCCCTCCCTCCAGCTCGGAGCGAAGGATCTTCCGCCGAATTGCCGCCGCAGATCACTATCACGGCTTTTTTTTTTTTGGCTGCTTGAGGCGGCCAAAACCCTGAAGCCGGCCCTGATCTGGCCCAGTGTATATTTCAGGGTTACATATAATTAATGTCTAGGAAAGTGAGAGAATTTTGGAACATAATTTTTCATATCTTTACTGCCACAGCCAGTTCACTCAGCCTGTTCCCCATCAGTACATATTGTTACCAAACTTTGGCACCACTGCAGTGGTCCACTCTCCTAGTCTATCTTCTGACCAAACATCTTACCTCCTTGCCCATTCATATAAATGCTGTGTCTCATTTGATATTTGAATAGTGGCTTGTACAATTAGATTATGGATATGGATTATGGATGTGGTTAAAGCACAAGACTGAAAGTCAGGACTCCTGGATTCTATTTTCAGTTCTGACTCAGACTTCCTGTGTGACCTTTGGCAAGTCACTTACTCTGTGTGTCTCAGTGTCTCCTATTTGCAAAATGAGGATAATACCTACCTTAGGATGCTATAAAATTCAATTCATTAATATTGGCAAAGCACTTTGTGATCCTCAGACCAAGAAAAATTAGTTTCTGCTTTTGTTTCTCAGCAGAGGTTTCAGAATTCCCCATTCTCTTTTCAGAAGCACTTTTGTACCTCCATGTCAAACTGAGTTTCTCACAAGTAAATGAAAATTGTACTGGTTCATCACTCAGCCTATAGGACATAGGAAAGTTACGTAGCACAAATCTTGCAGAAATGCGACTTGTTTAAAAAGAAGAGAAAAGAAAATAAGTGTAAGTTAGCAACATGTGAAAAACCAGCAGCAAGAAATTTTGATTTGATAGTAACAATGTAAATTTAGCATGTTCTTAAAGATTTTTTTAATTATTTTTGACTGACAAGTTTTAACACATGATTTATTTTAAAGAAAACAGCAATAGCAGCAGCACAGTGAGGTAGATCCTGAGTTGCAGTCTGTTTATCTGTATTTGAATGGAGACATCATAACTTGCAATTGGTACCTGAACTACATATTTCCTAGCCCCTAAATCAGTGATACTCAGACTGAGGCACCTGAACCACAGGTGCCTCTTTAATGTGTCTCCTGCAACTCTTTGCAGCAAATGATATTAACATTATTAACCGATCAGGATGCTTTTACTATGTTATTACCCAATTAAGTTATCAATTTGCACTAAGTTATTAACATATATGCTGTGAGAATAATATATATTATAAACTAAATATTTCCCATCATACTGTTTAAATATGAATAGTATTATAGTAAATGAAACAATGAAGTCACACAACTGTGGCTCTTTTGGGTAATGTTGATCGCCAATTTGGCTCCTGAACTGGTGAGGTCTGCGTATCACTGCCCTAAAATGATATGAAGAGAATGCTCGGTTTTAGACAAACACCTTCCCCACACAGCATCCCCTCTGCCCATCAGCTGGGCGTTCGGAGAGCTGTAGCTCAGGTTTCAGCCTCAAGTTATGATGTCACCATCCTGGTTCCCCAAAGTTTGCCAAAATCCTCAACAAAAGGAGGGAAGTTGTGGCCTGTAAGGTAAAAGATAAGAAATTATATTTTAAATGCCTATGGACATCATAAATTATTTTTCATTGTTCATCATACTTATTACAGTAGAGCTTAGGGGTCAACCAAGAATAGAGCCTCATTGTGCTAGGGACACTAAGAGACAGCCTCTGCCCCCAAATCTTACCTTCTAACTAGACAAGACGGATTCAAGGTAGGAGAAATGGATAGACCATACAAGCAATATGAACAATGTGATGGCTCAATAGGCTCATAAATCCAGGACTAAGCTCCAAATGTCAGGTTGGTTGGTTTGGTTATTTAAATTCTTTCAGTGTGGTTATGCCAGGAGGGGATTAGCTAGAAAGGGGGAAGGAAAGGAGGGGACTGGAGACTGTGGAGGAGGAGACAGGAAGGACTGGAGTAAACTGCCAAGCAGCACAGGCGTGAGAGAGTGTTCTGAGTTAACGTTGCAGAAAGCACCCTGATGAGATCACCAGTGTCCATTGGAACCTGCTTGCACTGCTTTCTTCACCTGCTGTGCCAGCTTCAGGCAGTGTCTTTCCAAAAGGCCACATGGCAGGGGAGAAGGTGGATATCATATGGTTTCTGGTATCCCAGAGGGGGTCTCCCCTACACAGTTCTGGGTCTGAAGAGTGCTGGATCAGAGGGCAGCCCCAGCTCGGCCCCATTTTACCCCATCCCGCCCAATGCAGCAGTAGTAGTAAAGGACGCAAACAGAAATGTTTATGATTGACAGTTTCCTTTGAGAAGAAAGGAACTGTGGATCACTGATTGCTACACAACTTGCTGTGCTATGAGTTTGCTACATAGCAGCAGTTAGTTGTGGCTTTGATAAACCAATCTCTCTCAGAGGTTGACGGACACCAGTAGAAACATAAAAAGGTCCTTGTGAAAGACCAGTAAGCACCTGTCATAATATGCTCCCTTCTTTGAAAATGTTAAGTTATTGCTCCATTTCAGACTGAGAGGGTTTGAATAGGCTATCTACACCAGCTTTTTTAATCCTTCATAAAATCCAGCTATAGTATTTGGCCTGCCAAAATCAAACTGTAAGCGTGCAATTATGAATAGGCTTATATTGCTTTCTCATAGCATGGCCGATTTTAAATAAAGTGGATGTCTAAATCTAAATCAAGTCTAGCTGTATAGCCTTTGAAAGGATTTTTGTTCTCTTCAAAGGCAATATAATACCATCTGTGGTCTGGATTTATGCCCATCAGAACTCTGGCAAGTACTTTACATTCTCCCAACAACCGTATGCCTGGCATTTATTCCCCAGCAGATTAGCTTTGGAGGAGTTGGTCTAAACATCAGGATTAATATCAGGATATCAGGGTCTCACACAGCGTCTTGCGATTCAGTTGTTTAGATGAGTGGTTCATTACCCAGTCCAGCGTGTGAAAGAAAAAGGAGTGGACTTGCACACCAGCTCTTGATCATGGATATGGTTCCTTATTATTGTTATTTATTATTTGTATTGGGTAAGCTCCTAAGACCCCAGTCATTGACCGGTACCCCATTGTACCAGGCAATGTACAGATGCAGAACAAAAAGATGGTCCCTGCCCCAAAAAGCTGACACTTAAAGACAAGAGACAAATGGATACAGACAGGTAGATGGGGAGCACAAGGAAACAAGGTCCTTCAAGGTTATTGGAGAATTAGGGGTATTGTGTAGAATAATTCTACAGAATAAAATAAACTTTAATTTAAAATATATTTATAGCCTTTCTAGCTGCAATGAACCTTGAAAATATAAACTGATGTCCAATGGTTTAAAGTCAAATGGGAGCCTGGCAGCTGATTTCAGGACCAAGCCCCAAGACACGAATTTCCCTTATTCATTTCAACGGAGTGTTCAGTTCAAAGTAATCCAGTTCAAAGACCCTCTTCACAGAAATCTAATCAGAATCCAAATGATTCAGTGGAATTTGAATTTTGTATCATTGCAAGTGTGTTGCCTGGGGTAGCAAGGTAAGGAGACATGAGCCTACTTGTGACCCCGTTTGCTATTGGCTTAATAAACCTCCAAACCAATCAAATCCGCAGTCCTGTTCTCCTGCTCTCACCACTGCCTCTGTTCCTACAGCCCTGGAACTCCTGACCTTGTTCAGAACCAACCCACCCTATATCCTACAGTGGCTTTTCTTAAGTCCTGACCACTCCATTCAACATTCTCCTTGAATATTTCATTATTTCAGAGGAACTCCAGAACAAGCACACGAGAATTTCCTACCATCTGCTCTAACAACTCAAATGTTAATTTTTTGAAGGTATTTTTTTTTAAACACAAAATATGTTTAAATAAATAGCTTCACTCTAGCACAAAACCTGGCCTCACTGCCACAGATATTCAGATACTAAGATGATAATTCGGTTTAAAAACCTAGATAGAATAGAATTGTATTCTAAAAAAAAGACCCTAAATACACATTGGTTGTTTCAATTTCTGCCCATGTTTGCTGAGCTCGGATAACACAATAGCGTTTACACTCTTGGCTGGAGGTCAGGACTCCAGGGTTTTATTCCTGTCACTGTCACACACTTGCCAGCAAGAGGCTGTTCTAAGAATTAAACTTTTTAATTAAAAAAGCTCTGAGACCTTAAATGAGGACTATCATGGAGAATTAAGTGTCATTGTGGTGAGTCAGATTCTGGCAGCCATCACAGGAATCTCACTGAAGGACTTCTCTGACATGTATGCAAATAATCACTCAAAATGAACTACACTGGGGAACATTAATCTTGCAATAGAAAATAAGAAAAACAAGGCAGTTCACAGCTGAATATGAAACACTTTGCATTGACTGCAGCACAACGACCCCCCCAACCCAAAAGAGTAGGCAGAGGGTTGATGTACAGTAGGTCATCCCTTTCCCATTTTTTTTAAACAAAAGAGTAGCTGCGTCAGTGCTACCAATAATATAAGCTCTGCTGTAGACCAGGAGTAGACATTTTGACCGCGGTCTCATCTAGTTCTGTTAAAATGTTAGCAAAGGAGTGCAGGGTCTATGGGTCCTGTTGTACTGTCAGTTTGCAATAATGACCACAGAACAATTCTGCTGTTGCTCCATAGCTTATGTGGTGTGCGGGAGGGGAATATTTGTCCCTCGCTAACCTCTGCTAAGCATAAAGCACAAAAATTGCATAGAGGAACAGGTTTCACAGCATGGAGCACGTAAACATATATTCTACTTGCACACGTTTCATAGCTATCCCATGTGCTTTTTCCCCACTTATCAAATATATTTGAATTTTAAGAAGGACTTGAGCCATTCATCCCATTTTTGCTTCCTCTTTGATCCTAAAGTGAAGTCACATCACCAAAATGTATTCTTTCCTCTGTGCATGGGGCTGCCATTGAAACGAATGCATTCAAATTCAGAATCTGGCCAGAAACATCCTGCATTCACATGGTGACAAGATGATGTCACAAAATCTTAGGAGTTTTCTGTAGAAGCAGGCAAAAGGAGAAGCTGGATCGAGAGGACAAATCTCTTATTAACCCAGCGTTATTGTAATATCAAAGGTACCACACAAAATGTCTGTCCCAGTAAACTGCTCTCCATAGAAATGTTCTGGTTCTGCAAGTGTGGCCCCCTCTTTAACTGTGCGCTTCCTTCCTTCTATTGTTTGCTGCCTCAGTCTTAACTCTGGTCTAATCTGCAGTTCTCAGCACTGTTCATACTGTGATGGAATTGCTTTCTGCCACAGCGCTAGCCGCTAACCTAATCCAAATGTAGTCCCTGCTGAATTAATATTTACATGCTTCACAACGGAATCCAGTGAGGCTGCCAAACTCTGACTCATAAAAGTCCTCCCCCAGCGGTTCCTCCAACTCTGAACAGCCCCTCCTGCTTTTCCTCAGAAACCTTTTCTTTTCTCACTGTCTCTCAGCAGCTCCTCCTGCTTCCCTTTAGTAACTTCTCTCTCCCCCACACTTACTTCCTATATTTCTGCCTTCTTTCCTCACATCTCCACCGTTGATCTTGGTACAAGTTTGCCAACAAAACAAAACAGCAAAAAGACCTGTGGCAGCACATCTCAGAGCACAGGTCAACTGACTTGGGCTTACACTATGGGGCTAAAAATAGCCGTGTAGGTGTTTGCTGAAACCTAGACTCTAGCCAGAGCCCAGATATCTACATGGCCATTTTTAGCCCCACAGTGTGAGCCCTATGAGCCCCAGTCAACTGAGATTGGTTCTGGGTGTTGCCTTTTTTTTTTTTGCTGTGTGAATGGATCCAGAATGGCTGATAAGACTATGCTGTGCCTGTGTCTCCAGCAGCAAGGTTGCAAGTAAGAGTCAACACCAGAAACAGAAACTGCATTTTCTACCTTCGCTGTTCTTTTCTTTTGTGTGCGTTTGATCTGTTTTGTTTTCTTGAAAATGGGATTGCTACTGTTTAATGTTGGACAATTTCAGGGTCATGTTAACACCTTTAATTCCTTGTGTTTATTTAAGTGGAATAAAGGGGTCCAAACACTGAATAATTCCGTCAATGTCCGTAAAAGTTGTCTATATATTCCACAGTAATCGCCTTCAAAATCTGGCCCTGGATCCTAATGTAATAATAGACTACTCAGGTTTAGGCAGCAAACTTTTAGACACTGTGATAAATGATAATGTGGTGCATAGGATCAAAACTGATTTCAAGCATTATGTCCAGCTCAAAGGGGTTTGATCTGTTGCTGTTGTCTTTGGCCTCCATATGTGTGTGGTGGCTAATATCAGACTAGAAAAGTCCTTCTGATGAATGGAACACTCACCTTATGAACTCCAATCTCAATGTGTAACAAAACGTTTATTTATTTTCTGGGATGGGTTGACTTTGAGGTATGAAGATACAGCTGAAAAAAGGGAAAGATTAGTTGTAACTCTGATTTTCCTCCCTGGAGTCTCTCACACTAAGTTACAAAACTAAAATCAGTTGACCTTGTGGTAAGTGAATAATAGTCTGTCACTTAAGACAGGTTGCAATTTACATATTACACTAATATCGTCCATAACAGACAAGGCTAACAGGACCCTGAGAGAGTTCTGTCAGGATGCAGACAATGCACAGTGTAGAAGTTTGACCTGGAGAGAAGGGTGCAGCTGTTGGTGGATGAGACAGCATTTCTTAAGAAACTTCATGAGGAAGAGATCACTGACCTTCAGAAATAGATCCAGGGATCCAAACTCTCTGTAGACCTGGAGTCCAACTGCCCAGACCATGCTGCTGCCCTGCATGACATCACAGCTCCTTGATTTGGGCTGGCTGCCACAACCAACCCTGAAGCAGAGAAATGGTATAAAGCAAAGTATGACACTCTTAAGAGTCAAGCTTCCAACTATGAAAAGAATATTAAGATCATGAGAGATCAACAAGTATTCATTTCAGGTAACTGACCTGGAAAACCACATTGATGCTCTGAGGGCCCAGAATGAAGCTCTGGAGAAACAACTTAAAGAGAAAGAGGCTCATCACCTGGAGAAGGTGGCTGGGCTCCAGGAAATCATTGTCTAGCTAGAACGTGAGTTACTGGAATCATAGAATATCAGGGTTGGAAGGGACCTCAGGAGGTCATCTAGTCCAACCCCCTGCTCAAAGCAGGGGCCAATCCCCAACT